CCCCCCCGTATCTCTCAATTTATACGTCCTATTTGACAATGGCATTTCAAACAAGACCCCCGGCATTTGTATGTTTACGACGTAATGTCGCGATCCTCGTGAAAATGTCACGTATATTTCATAATAGTTCATAAATAGGAAAAAAAACATCACGTGACTCGCAACATAGCCTAAAAGCAACCCAACGCCTATCGCGAACCTTGGATGTGTCAATTAAAAAAAGAAATTATCAACGCGTCATAAATATCTTGAACGACGTATATTATTCTTTTTTATCGACTTTTACAATTTTCATTAAACCCAATCATACACACACCAACACTTCTATTATATACATTACACGTCCAATCGACATCCGCTCTCGGTTTCCCTTGAAAGCGACTCGAGTAAAATTTCTAAACGCCTTGAAGTTGCACCATATAAACATTAACTGTCCCCCGTGTATATCCAAACTAGACACATTTACTTCGTCCAAGTGATGCTCTCGTACTAGGTTATGCGTTACGACAGTACGGTCGGTACCGGTCGGTCCGCTGTTACCGGTTGACCCTGAAACGGTCCGGTCGGTACAACGGCGTGGAGGTAGGAAGAAAGGAACTTGTTTGGATTCGCGAGAGAGGCTACCCCGGTAATTGCATTACAAGGTGCGTGTCTTGCCGAAGCCCCTCTTGCGGTACTGTGAACACTTTTAGAACGGGAAGCAAAAGGCCTACCAGTCAGTTCCCTGCGTACGTTCGTTCGCAAAGTCGTTCGACCGGAATATTCCGTCCTGTCGTGTTATCCCATCTTCTTATACAGAGAACCTCCTTGGATCATTTCTCCGTGGCAGTCAACGCCATCTTGCTGCTTCCCTTTCCCACCATTATCCTTTTACTTGTATCCTACTGTATTTTTATATATCCCTTCCCGTCTCCTCTCTCTCTCTCTCTCTCTCTTTCGGGATTTCTTTAGTATGTTCGGTATCGGCAGTAGGAAAGTCCTCAAGTACTCAGCCATCGATACTACTATCTCTCTCGATGTCGAGGATACCGTCACGTGCTTCTGCAGGTCAGTACGCGTGTACATAACAATAACATGCTATAGGCTACTTCGTTATCGTTAATTATCACTGCCGAGTGGAAAGTCGGTTCTCCCTTTTAATTTACACCGGGATGCCTGTACGGGAATCGTGTTATTTCGTCAGGGCGACTGCGTTATTGCAGCCACGCAGGAGCCGTCGGGTACGGGAATGTATGGTTATGTTTTCTAATGTTTTTCATATGCTGTTTCGTGACTTTGGATATTGTAGCCGTGTCTAAGAGTAGGTTTGCGATGCTATCTCGAATTTCGGAAGTCGGTGTGTTATCGGGAGTTTGAAACCGCGTACCGTTGCCAACGTCCGCCACTGTTTCCTACGCTTGGACTCGGCTGTTATATGTTATTACGTATAGGTTAGGTACGACCTCGATTTCAGAGAAAAGTTTACAGACATCGACCTCGGCCACTTCCTTCGGGCTTTGGCTTTCCTGGTCATGATTAAGGTTATGTAAATGTTTGGCTCGAGGGAGATATCGATGTCGCTGAAAAATCAACAGACCCTGCGATCGGCTACCCCCTCCATTCGCCTTTTTATTCTCTTTTTTAGATGAAATTATCACGGAATATTTGTATAGTGCTGGGAGATTTCAGGATGCAAATACAGGTTGGGTAGTTTATTTTGGGAAAACTGTCTTTTGATTTGAGTCGCATTTTTTTTTGCAAATAGGTAGGGCAGTGTTTAGAGGTAATGGGTCTCATTTATATTGATTTAGAAACTCTTTCAGTCTTTACCCTCTGACCTTATTTCCTGTTTTTTTTTTCCTTAGACAAAGTAAAAGTTTCTCAAAATACGTAGAAGACTCTTCAGACCAAGAATTCGACTTGCTCGAGGATTCCTTTTTAGTTTTCCAAAGGTCCAGGTCATTTTGTGGCAACTCTTTTTTTTTTCCTTATTTTCCACAATTTTTCACGGACTCTTAAAGCACGACTCGAGCCTGAGAGCTCTCAATTTTGTTAGCATGGTCGAGCACGAGGTGGGTGCTTTACTTAATTAAATACCTGATCCTTCCAGTCAAATTTTTTTTTATCAAAAAACCAGCCGACTTATTTACCCCAAAAGAATTTACATTTTTTACCTAAAAATTATCTTTTACCTACATAGTTAACTTTTATATCACCAAATCTCACGATCTCCATAATTCCACTAACCTTGGCTACATTTTATTCTTCTTTCTCCGCAAAACCGTCAATTTACCGTCATGCAATCCAAATCGATCGATCAATCTGTCTTCCAATACACTCGATCGAATCGATCCATTTCGTCGATACGATTGACGTGTAGTAAAGTCAGTCAACACACAAAGGCCATAGACCCCCAGAAGACACAACAAAAGTTCCATTTATCAAAGACCAACTTACACTATGATTCCCGTCGATTCTCTGAAGCGAGCAAAGACTGCATGAAAAAAGGACCTGGTGTTTGGCCCAGTGTCCCATAAAAAATGATTGCAGAGCAAACGAAACTCGTATGGTGTCACACCTGTAATTAACCAAGGTGTCACATCCACTTGGGACACCACCAAGAAACAGGATATCCCCAAATCTAAATATATATACTTGTAGTTGGTCTTTCTCGAGAAAAGACTAGATCCCATAGAAATTGGAGCTTTTAACGGAGTTGCAGATTCGTTCTGTCCACCATAAAAGAAAACGGCCTACGTCCGAGGCAGAATGGGATTATTTCGCGAACGGGAGAGAGCAATGGGGAACGGGATTTATCGGTCCCTCGAGAGTCCACTCGTCCCTATCCAATACGAAATGACCGGGTATAGTACGAGGAACGGGGATAGATAATAACATCGTCTGGGTTACCGATGATGGAGGCGGTGTAAACAAACACAAACATCGTCGTGGCACCGAGCGACGGAGACGCGTCTCACAGGCGCCGTCAAATCGATCCGCTCTCGTTTGTAATCCTCGGGAGCACCGAGTTGCTGGCGCCAATCTCCAGCTCGGTTCACTTTCCATCCATTCATTCTCTCCCCCATTTACAAGTCAATTATGAGGATAAAACCTTCCCGTGTTGCTCGTTCACTCTTCATCTCTCTCTCTCTCTCTCTCTGTCTCCTTATTTCCCCCACCTTTCTCCCTCATGCATATTCCATCCCTCCGTTCATCAAGCGCCATCATCGTCGCCAGAAAGGACCCCCGGTCAGGGCTTGCTACGGGCCCTTAGGGTGCTTACACGCATGTACCGTACATTGCTATCATCCAAATGCACAATCTCCTAACCCACCTAACCTTATTGACAGAAATCCATGAGAAATAGACTGGGATCGCGTAGATCAGGTTTCCTCTAGGTCGACCGCATAGATCAAGATTTATCCCTGGGATTAGCCTCGGTTCCGATATGGATTGCTCGAGTTCTCCGTAATCCTGTGTGCTGTTTTTTTTTTTTTTTTGGACATTTTCTTCAGTTACTATTTTTTGCCGTTTACGTGCATGCCTGTTTTTTTACCTTTTCGCGTAGGGTTAGCGGCTGTGACGTCATACATGCTCTCTTGGCGTATACGAGAATCACGTACAATCCGTTTTCAATGACAGACTTCATACGTAATCGTTTCTGAGGTTTGACATAACTCTCGAAGCGAGAAACTTTTCCAGTTGTTAATTGACCTTGAGCTATCAGTGTTAAATGCCACAACGAGAACGATCCCGATTGGAGCGACCGAACCTCACGTTAAGGAAGACGCCTGTTACGTCCAAAGTGACTTACGGAGGTCAGACAGCTGTTTCCATCTTCTCTGGATGATTCAGTTCCGTGTGATTCATACGTATAGGGGGCCCCTATTGGACACGTAGAGACGTCCCTGGATCCGCGAATTCTCATAGTCCAGTACCGCGGGATACGAGTTTGACAAAAATCGATGAAAGGGCCAGTTATGAGGTTTGAATTTTTTTTAGGGGTGAATTGAAAAAAAAATTGTAACGGGGTAAGAATCTTTTGACACCGTATCCACTTAGTGAGTTTGAAACAATGGCGTCTTGAATGTGGACCGTCGAATGGCAAACATCCGAATGCCAAAACCAGGACCAGGGGACTTCCTCACCACGTATGGGCCTTCCGCGAAGGAACTTGGCCCGTTGTCGAACCTCGTTCCCCCGCACGTATTTCCTACGTACGAATACTGTTGTGTCACAAGGGTGTCAAAAAGGACCCGAAGAAGAGCCACCAGGACCCCAGCGTCGGGCCGACGTATAGTATCGATTGTCGCAGAGTGCCCCAGCGCTGCCAGCCAGTCAGCTGACTCCAGTCTTCGTCACAGCTGATCCACCAGCGTCGCGGCGCAACGAGCGTCGCATTGCCGCCGACGCCGTCAGCGTCGTCGTAGCTACTTGCCGCGGTGCCCTACCCTAAAGACAAACCTCGAGGAGGGACCGCGAATACCGTGAGTGCTGGCAGTCGCGTTCCGGACGCCTTGCTAGCGAGCGTGCACGTCGTCGCGACGCCCGGCGTCGAGGTCTCTTTGTAACTTTTTTTTTGTTTTCGTACAAGCGTCACACACTTTGTACGCTTCATTCGGGCTATAGCTGTATACTGTAGAAATCCAATTGGAGGTTAATCAGTCGCCGAGGAACGTCGCGCTCTCGCGCTTGTAGAAAGTGCGCGAAACGGCGAAAGTGTTCGGTTCTTGCCGAGAGGATTTGTATAGGTGGTATAGGAGCCGCCGGGTACTTGGGTCTCTTTGACGATGTCTATGACGCTTGTGTCTGTTGGGTCTTTGCATGCTTGAGGTATATCGATGGTGATGGTGAGAAGAACTTGCGCGAAAGTCATAACGGTAGTTTTGGATGATGAACTAATGGTATTCTTTAGCTGCGGTTACATGGGGATTGTTTTGTTGCTTAGGGATACTCCTGGGTACACGTGGACTGCTCGTTGGGATTTTTTACTGGGGAATTTTTAAGTATAAGTATATTTGTTGATTTTTGAAAAATTTATTAATCGTGATAAAAGTTTACAATATTGATTTTAAATGAAATTTGAACTGTTTTTTTTTAATTAATGTTTATTTGATTATCACGGCTGGTGACGTGCTGGGTACACGTGGAGTTAGTGTCAGACTTTTTTTTAATGGTACATTACCAAGTACTGCTTAGTATTTGGATGTCTTTGATAATACTCGATTTTATACAGGTTTATGAAAATTTATTGACGGTGATACTGAACGAAATTTTTGTTTCCAATATTATCTTACTCCGCTTAAACTGCGTAAGCTTCGTTGGTTAACAAACCATTGTGCCGGATGTATCGAACGTCACGTATTAATTGCACGATAAAAAGCAGGAAGTTGAAAAAACTTTGACAGTGATTAGGTTTAGAATCGGATTAGAAAAACGTGACAGGGAAAAATCAAATTTATATCGAAAAGATGTTCAAATCGTCGAAATCGTCTAAAAAGAGAAAATCGTAACTTTCCTTTCAGACCGGGAACGGCTTAGCATCCTTACTACGTTCACATCGCATACGATTATCCCAACCCGGCACTCTCGATCTCGACTCAAGGTTAACCTAAGAGCCAACGGCGCTTTGAACTCGTCTTCCTTAGCCGAACCGCACAGCAGCGAAAAGACTTCGATTTTTACGTATAGAACGACCTGAAACCGATAAGAGTTGGAACTGTCGCCAGGGAAGAACTTGGAAGAATTTGTTTTTTTTGTCAACGACAGAGAATCATCCCAATCGCCATCGAGGAACCACAGGGTCATCCTGACCGGGATCATCGGATAAGACTGACTTCCGTGATTAACTTCGGGAGCGATCCGAGGTCCCTTCCGATTGAAGCCAAAGAGTTCAATGATAAGGAAACAAGATTTGGTGCATACCTAGCGTGCGCGAGAAGACCGCCGGCATCGGCGTGGAGTCCACGGTGCCAGCAAGACGTTCCTCATCAACGTCTTCGGCCATGCTGCGCTCACCTGCACGTGGGGCAGTGGCCCTCCTGGACAACTCCTCGGCATCTTCTGCACCGTCCACACCAGTTCACAATTCCTCGTCCGCAGCTACCGGAAGTACCACGGTATCCTCCCGTCTATCGCTCCTTGACACCTGCCACAGGAAGATACGCCTCTTCGGCGAGCTAGTCGCGTGAGTTCCCCAATTGATCCATCATCAGTAGAAACAGCTTCTCGAAGACGACTAGGCTCTCTGCTATCCTATGACAATGATCCACGTTCCATCCACGTGGAACCATCCTATCGCGAGTTCCCAGGGTACCTGAGATGGAGGTTGGAAAAGACGCGTAATCATCAGCTTGCATTATCTAGAAGTAGAAATCCTTTTTTTCGCGAGCCTCCTCGACGTACTCGGGTCTTAATTAAGGGTGCGCGAAGAAAACGGGTGGGTAGCAGGAAGTGGAGGTACAAGTGGCGCCGCCTGGGACAAAGGGTACTTGACGAATTTTACTGAGACTGCGGCTGTCTCATTGGATTAAAGAGTCGGACCAGTCTAACCAGTCCTGAACTCTCCCTCAGGTCCCGTGCTGTTGTCTTTGCTACCGCTGATCTTGCTGCTACTGTTCTTATTGTTGCCGGTACCGCAAATACCAACAGGGTAGACCCTGGTCCCATTCTTCATCCTCGTCCTGGGGGACAGTGCGGTGTAGCCTGTATAGGATTGCTTGTCCCGCCACGTGATCTTGCGAATAGTCCATGGCGGTCCTTTCCAATTCATTGAGGACATTGTTCGGAACAAGTCATAGGGACATGCCAACGCCCTGGTAGGATACCTCAGTAGACGTAGCTACGTAGCTCGTACACTAACAAGTTTTCATGGGTTTTACCATCCGGGAATGGTGGCTGGGAGTACGAGGATTCAGGTACCTACCTACCTAGTTAGCAAGATATATAATACAGCCAGTATCTCCAGATAGTATCCAGCAGTCCTCTGCTGAGAAATATAAAGAGAAAGAGTCACAGTCCCTACTCCAGAATCCTTTCTCTCGATCTGAACTCGCTCCCGATTATACACCAAGCATATACTCCATTCCTGAGGCATTTATCAACATAACCTACAATTTCAAGCTGTATATCCAATCACGTATACAGACCAATTGGTACTTCAAAATTTTACTTCGTTCATTTAAAATGGATCCAAAAACTTTTTATTGAAGTTTTAAACAAAAATTCCCGTATCCGTTCGGAACATTCTGACCCAGTCTAGCGAGAGTAATGGAATACTAAGTCTGAGTCGCAATCCCTTAATAGCGATCTTATCATCGGGATCACCCTTAGGTCATCCTGGGTCGCAGGACCAGGATGAATGGATGTGCCCTATGAAAGGGTTGATCCTTTCTTTGGCTTGTATACTTGTTTAGTTCTCTTTTTTGTTTCTCTCCAAGATCCGCCTTTGCCACGAAGCCGGACGTGGCCATTCATGCTCGTTACCCAGAGCCCTTCAATTTTCATTTTCCCGATTCGCAGTCCAGGGGCGTAGATTAAAGGCTGTCACCATAGTGGGCTCTTCCTATTTTCAGCCCCTCAGGAGCAACTTCACAGCGTGGACGAAGGCGCGTGGCTTCGTTCCTTTAAGCGTTTGGATACGTGCACGCCTTTGACCTCTCTGAACCCTGAACCCGGTCCCGTTTTCTTTCTTTACTGTGTCTAGATGCACACCTACTCACTATACCAGAGGAAGACCTCTCGTACCTACCTACCTACCCTACTCGTAACGCTTCATTGCGGAGTCTTCCAGCTGGAAATTTTTAATCGCAAACGCAGCACCATTCGGTCTGTCCCGTCAAAAAGGCAAAGAAGATGGATGCCGTGGCAAAGGGGAAAAAAGTGTTGAGAGACACCATAGGAGGAAGTTGAAGAAGGTGGAAACTGGGAAAATAGATGGAAAACGAAATACCGTCATTTATTTATTTATTTTTATTTTTTTCCTTCATCTTTTTGACAATTTAAAAAGCACCCTGGTGTTTTCTTCTTGATTCTTATACGATTTCACTTTTCCTGTCACCTTCAGAAAATCCCACTTCATGGGTATTATATACCCGGTACCTAGAATCTGAAGGTTTTCATATTCTTGGAAAGGCCTCGATATCCTGACGACCCTCGTATTTCTCTTTCTTTCAATCTTTCGGAGTAACCGTTTGTCTTTTACCTGCTACCTACCCGAACTGTTGGCCAGCCAATTGCCAATGGCTGTTACGACGTCCGATATTTATCCATAGCAAGTTCCTTCAGTCACTGGGTATCTTTCTTGCTGATAGTTAAATTTTGTTGCACGCGTTAGAACGTAGAACTTGCACAGTTTTATCGAATCTGTTCACTCTAGAGAAACGCGTAGTCTGATTTATTTTACTATTGTACATTCCTTTGACAGAAGGCTGCCAGCCTTGTCTAGGGATTTCCATTTGTCGAACACTTCGACATCCTGAAATTCGTTTTTACGTATTTGCGCGAGAGTCTCGTGAAGTCTCATGTGGTTAAATTCTTGCTTGCAGAAAGGCCCGAAAAAAGGACAAGGATGCGGGAACTACTGAAGATCCGAAATTGTATCTCGAGGAGGCGGCTCTCGAGAGACAGCTGCCTGAGCTGGACCTGAGGATGCTGGTCGACCTTCCACCCGGTTTAGATTACAACGAATGGCTGGCGTCGCACACTCTAGCACTATTCGATCACATTAATCTCGTTTACGGCACCATATCCGAGTTTTGCACTACTACTGGATGCCCTGACATGACAGGGCCTGGCTTAAGGTAACTACTTTCGAATAATCCACTGAGAACTCCTGAGATTTCATTTGACATACATCTGTCTTAGCGACGTGAAAAATTACTGGATAACCTAGGTGCAATATTTGGATTATTCATTCACTCATTTTCACATTGGCCACCCGGATATATTCATAGCTTATCTTTCACAAGTCGACAGGTAATAAATTTTTGAAATTTTAGGGAAAAGACAGTTTCATGTTGATTCAATGAATAAACTTCCTTTCTGGTACACAGGTGACCAATAATGCCTTCCCAATCAATGATATTTCAACATCTTTTTTATCCAGTAATTACTTTCTAACACATTTTTGCTCGCGACTGTACAAGCATTGCGCATAGAGTTTTTAGTTTTGCTTAGATTTTATTTTTCCATATACATGTGTGTAACGATTATATAACTTTTTGCAGAATGTATTTGTGGTATGACGAGAAGGGAAAGAAAACACGGGTGGCAGCGCCACAGTACATTGATTACGTTATGACATTCACACAACGCACTGTCAGCGACGAGACTATATTTCCTACAAAATATGGTAAGTCGTATCACACTGTGATCAATGCGGATTAAGAATTTCGTTACTGTCAATATGACTGCGCAGCATCCAACACGACACTGGCGGTCCAGCCATTGTCGAGCATACATTCCTTTTAGCATACCTTGCTACCCAGTTCACTGTTTTCTTTCTCTCATTCAGATCAGCTATTATTAGAGCATAGCAATTCGATCCGCCCCGACTCTTCCAAGAAGGATGCTGCGCAGGTTTGATCTGTACGTGTCGCAAAAGGATTTTCAAACTTCCTCATTCGTACATATTAATTCTTAGTCAGTCTCTGTTGTCGGCTTGTATATTAATCGTTCTTTCTTCTTTTTCAGCAAACGAATTCCCTAGCTCGTTCGAGTCGATAGTGCGTAAGATCCTGCGGCTACTGTACCACGTCGTGGCACATATTTACCACTGCCACTTTCGCGAGGTGGCACTCTTGGGACTGCACGCTCACCTAAACTGTGTATTCGCCCACCTCACGCTCCTTAATCAACGCTTCAACCTAATCGATCCTAAGGAAACAGAGATCCTGGGGGATCTAGAGGCTGCCTTACTAGGTAAGCTCCTCCTGAAATAACTACGAGAGTGACAGATACGATCTGGCCGAAGGTGGGACGCATCGATCGTCCTAGATGAAGCAGCAGCAGTAAAGCCAGAGCCTAGTTGCATAATGCCTCGACCATATCGCAACAAATTTTCGAAACGTTTGAAAACGTTGAAAGTCCCTTACGTAATCCTCTAAATAATCTGAGGACGTAAACTAACACTATTTTTACCATAGTATCCTAACCACTCCGGATCCCTACCTCTATACCACCCACCCATCCTTCCATGGCGTCATTCTAACTTTGACATTGCGCTATGTTGACCAACACGATACTTGCTACGTATTGCGTGGGTCTTGTGCCTCTAAAAATGAATCCTTGACCCAAACCGCTTATTGCTCTAGGAAGTGGAATACATAAACGCGGAAGTGCGTCATTTATTTAACGCCTAAAACAACTGTTCCTATAGCTTGTAGTATAATTTATTGACTTCGAGCAGTTAGTATAGTAAAAGTATAGATTTGTTATTGTAATAGAATTTTTTTGTAAAACAATCTCGTGTCAATGAACGCATTTTGCTTTGCTGTACCTCAGATAGGGATTTTGTGACTGACTGTTTAGCTTGTCTTCTTTATCTTATGATTCATGCTTCCTTACAGGCGACTCGACGTCCGCGCCTTCGCAAACCCCAGCCATCCAGGAGACTCCAACCACAACCACCTAGATAAATGATGCCAGAGAGCAATGCAGAGGTTGCAGTTCCTGAGACTAGGTAACGATAGGGATTTGTTTCTTTTTTTTTTCCTGGGCTAGTAGTACGTCGTGAGGATGGCTCACGACGTTCGCGAAATAGTTCAGTACACGCAGGTGGAGCGAAAGTGCAGTTCTGTAAAAACCAGTAGTACCTGTAAATAGCGAAGTGTGAACAACTACATGATGTAATTAGGTTCCTCCGTTTGTTGTTTGTGAGATTGTAAATAATTTATTAAATGGTAAGATATACGAGAGAGGAGAGAGAGGATGAATCATTGATTATTATTGACAAAGTTAGTTGCTATAAGAGATAATTTGTTCTGTATAAAAAAAAAAGAAATAATGAAACAATAATAATATTGTAAAGTTATAATAAAACCAAATATATACCTGGTGTTAAAATATGCTCTATTCTCATCATGTGTTTCTATCTGTTCTTTCTTAGTCTCTATTGTTCCATGTGGAACGTCTATTGTGTCACGTAAACGCTCACTCTCCACACTGTGTTCCTGCAGAGTGATTCATTCATTGGGCACTACTCTACATTTAGGACAGTCGGTCATGTGTTACCCCCGTTAACGGTGCTCCTGGTATTATTCACTTCCACGATTCTAAGTGACTTGAAAACATTGGCCACTTCACGCAAGAAGAATCCAAAAGCTTCGGCCAAAGGTTCACAAAGATCTCTGAACGAAGTTGCCACATTGTAAAGCAATATCAATATCGGCTGTATCAGTGCGTTGAACAGGATGGACAAAAAGGGCTTGATGAAGTAATCAGCTAATAGTTGCAGTATACCGACGGTGAGCGGTCTGATTATGCTGAAGAGCACGAAACGCAATAGCTGAAGTATGAAGGCCGTGACGAAAGCAATTCCAATGTGAACTGTCCCAAATATTTCAGCCCAAAATCGGGTCGCTATGAAATCTGTTCTTTCTGCGCACTTTTCTGTCGCCAGTATAGGCGGCGAATCTGTCGTTCTGTAATATCTGTATTGATAAATTATTTAATGATTTTTATATTAACGTCATTGGCATATGCTCATCAGTAGTTGGTAGGAATACCTACGCTGAATTTCCATGATCAAAATAATATATATCAATCCTTTCTGATATTTCAGGCTCACAGCCACTTTGACATTTTCTATCGCCTAACTTTTCAGTGTTAATTGATTTCAGGTTTGGTATGCCTTCTGAGACTTCGCGGTATACACAAGCCTGAAATTGGTACTTCACGTTAGTATCTATCCTTCTTGCAACATTGATTATTGGCAATACCTCAGGGTAATATGAACGATGATTTCTCTTTAATTTAATTCGATAAGCATTATCATCTAATATTCTTGGATATTCTTGTCCTGGACATTTCCAATTTATTCCTTTCCAGGCGGGCTCCAGTCGTTCTCCTGAACCTAGTTCAATATTACCAGGCCTTTCTATAGTCGTTATATGTAACAGATGCTGATTTAATGCTTGACTTACGCTTAGAATATTTCATAGGTGTACCACAGGTATTTCTAGAAATTAAAAATCACTTGTATAAGGATGAAGTTAAAAATTGATAATATTTTATTACTGATTGTAAGTATGACAGACACACGTCACACCGGGTTCACATTGTTTCCCTGGTTGACACGGTGGAACATGGGATTGATAAGTCGGAGGTATCTGGCATGAAGGCTGAATCGGTTTTGATTGCATCGTGAAAATTGGTGGGGATTCAGGAAATTTTGGTGAGTGTTGATCTACTTGACAGTTGCAATCGTTATCTGCATTTCAATTGAATTATTTAATTAATTTTATTTCTTGTGTTTTAATAACAATTCTCTTACTTGTATCTACAGCTGCAGCACCCGTTCTGCCCAATTGGCAAGGATTTATGATGCAACTAGTGTCTGACGGAAGGGACGTCGCATTTGATGGCTCTGTCGTATCCGAATAATGGGACTCTTCTTCTACCGTCATCGTGATTGAAATTAATATGGAGTATCTATACTTCCTGTCGAAGAAGTAAATTCTGAATGTAATGAAAGTAACATTAACTGAACGCAACGATAACCCAACACGAACACAAGAACTGTCAGTATGACAGGATCGATAGGAAAATGTCATATAATTCAATTGTTTCATTCCGACTGTATTATGGATACGTTTGAAAATTCATTGCCAATACTGCGTCTATGCCTGTGTCTCAGTTACATGCAGATAAATAAGGATAGGACGATACTCGTGGTACTGACAGTGAATTTATAAAAGTATTCTATGCAGTTTGATATTATGATTACTGAAATATTTATGCAAAGTATACACTGTCAAAAAGCAATGGTTATTTTGTATAATTTGTAGTGTTCAATATGCTTGATGTTTATTAAAAATAGTGGAATATCTTATTTAAGTATGATATATAAGGAATTTGTAGTTGTAAATAAGATTTAATTGGATGCTGAAAAATATTCATGAAGACACGTTTGGCGTGTAGCTGTAGTTAAAGCATATATTAACGACAACGGAAACGGGCAGTGTGGAACATAGTTCGCTCAATTTTATTTTATTTCTCGTCTTGCTTAGTTTCATGACTACTTCCTCGGTCCTCATCCTAAAAGCAATACAATCGATATATTATTGGTGGCGGTTCCAAAACACAAAAGGTTTTTTTTCCAAAATAACCCTGTCACAATGTAAATTGTATCAGCCTTTTCTATTGATCATTCCATCCTCTGCTTCCTACATATTATTGAAATTTGAAGAGAAAAGCTGAATTCCCAGCTATTTCAGGGATACAGCATCCCAAAAATCCTATTCTGTGAGTGCACGTACAATAATTGTATCGCGGTAAGTTCACTGATCATCCAATAGATGGTGTAACATATTCCGTCCAGGGGTTATCCGCTTAACGGACATTCGAAGTAACTTTGCATTCATTTAATATAAACTGGGATCATTCAACCGCCGTCGGCAAGTTAGCATCAAATGATACAAATTTATATGTTTCTAAAACCTAAAAGATGCTCCTTATGTTTTCCTGATTGCTCCGCAGCTGTTACATAATACATACAAAATATTCATTAAAATAGAAAAATATTCATGTTATTGCTTTTCTAAATAACCAAGCAGATTTTCAATGATTTTCTTAATGAATGAATTGCTCTCAATTTGCTCCATTTCCCTCCGCAATTTGTTTTTAATTTC